ATATGATTTGGGGCAGGTCCCTGAACATCCCTGGGCCTCAGTGTCCCCATTTATGAAATGATGGGGTTGGTCAGAATGGTCTCCATGGCTCCTTCCAGCTCTGACACTTTATGATTCTAGGATATTTGTATTTTTTACCCTCAAACAAATCACAGCCGTGGTGACAGGTCTGGGCAGGGTGGAGAGAGGCTTGCCAGGTTTGCAGGGAGATCAGAATAGAGCCACAGGGGCCCTGGGGCTCGAATGGGTAAATGTTCCCAGGGCGGTGTAGGTGGGGAGAGACTACATCCTGCAGAGGCTGCAGTAGCGGGTCGTGGGGCTGCGGGGGCATCATGAAAGGCTGGAAGGAGGAGGTCCTTCATAACTGAGTGTCCAGAAGAGCCTATTTGTTTGCTTTGAAGCTGTGAAACTGTCACTTTAAAGTAGCTAGTGGTATTTGTCCCCAGACTGGAGGCAGAATTTTTCTTTGGAGGAAGAGTCACCTGGTGAGAGCAGCACTCCAGTGGGTCTTTAGGAAAGTCGATTTAAGCCCAAATCTCAGAACAGAGATGCAGCAGAGAGAGGAACTAAGCAGGAATGTCCCATGTGTAGAAGGAAAAATGAGGAAGGGGAAGTTTGCCTCTAACTGAGACCAACAGAGGAGATGGGGAGCACTGGGTGCACTGCTACACTTGAGGGGCTGGATGGGCTGTCCCAGCAACGTGGGAGCAGGCAGAGGGTCAAAAGAGAGTGAAGGCTGCAGGGGTTTCCTCATGAAGGGACATGAACCACCAAATCCAACATCACCGATCTCCAGCATCCAATTTAGGTGCTTTATTTTTCACATTGCATTTCTCTTCTGTGTTCCCAAGTAAAATTTTGTGAGATGTCACCTGTGGTCTAGGCTATGCTTTGGGGAATGAGGGAGGTGGGCTGATGGGCAGGGGGGTAAATGCAGAGCCACAGAGCTGGGTAGGAGGGAGCAAGAGGTCGAGTGCAGACCCCAGGGAGAGGCTAGTGTGGGACAAGACAAACGAAGAGATTTGCAAACATCATCATTCCCAAGGACTGTCCCAGTCCTCGGGGAAGGAGACCCTCCGAAGGCGAACTGGCTGGAGTTGTCCTTCAGGACACCCCGACCCCAAACCTCACTCCCAAGAGGAATATGGATTCACCAGTTTGTCAAGTACTGACAGGCGCCATGTTCCCTGGTCTCTCCCTCAGCTTGTACCAAGTGTCTGCCTGGGCCTTCTTACTTTTCTAAAGAAGCTTTTTAAAATTTTATTTTATTTTTCAGTAAACTCTGACCCTGTCTGGGGTGGCCAGAGGGGAGACAGAGGAGGACGGGGGAAGTGAACAGCTCCTCACTGGACTCCGACGACCACAGCCGTTAGCCCATCACCCTCTGCCGCCTGCCCTGCCCTCACACAGGACTCTTTCACATTCCAAACTGCCTGCCTAGTTTGTTTTTTTACGAAAGCAGTAACCACAGCACATTCACTGTGGTTCTTTATAGCTTTCCATATGTATAATCACTCTTTCTCTCTTCAGTTTTTCCAGTGCTTTTTTCTTTTAAATAAATGCTCATAAATTTTACTAGTGAAAAGGATGAAAAAACATACCTTAAAAAGAGCAGTTTGTTGGGAGGTAAAAAAACGGAGAATGCAGAAAATAAAAAATCCTGTTTAGTAGCATATACCTAAGAAATAGGGGGGGGACGGGTGGAGAATTCAAGTTTTATGACTGTAATATCTCCAGAACTTGTATGTCTATGTCTTGAGCTTTTACTTGATAAACTTAAATCCCCAGCCATCACCCCACTGGGCTTGCTAAGGAGACCCCTCAGTCCTAGGATCCCTGGCTTCTCTCAGGCATTAGGTTCCTGCGGGGCCTTGTGTAAGTCAGATGATCCAGAGGCCCCCAGTCTTTACAACTGCAAAGGGTTGGATTAGAAGCTTTCAAAGGACCCTTTCATCTGGAAAGTTCTGTGGCTTTATGATTAAGTCAGTCACTTGATGAACTAGAGCAAAAAAACTGATTCAGAGGCCCCTTCAGATCCTCTTCCCCCCTCAGGGAAGCTGCAACAGATTCTGCTGGCTGCCTCCCCAATACCCATTCGCCCCTTCCTTCTTACTGACAGAACTCCAGTTTTAGGGAGCCGTGATGCGCTCAGCTATAAAGCCATTTCTCAGCCTCCCTTGCAGCTGGGCATGGCCTCCTGACCAGTCCCAGGCAATAAGGTGGAACCTGAAGTCCATGGATGGCCAACTAACGGGTTTTTTTGCCCTTTGCTCTTCCTGCCGGAATTCAGTCATGATGATAATAGACTAGGGGTCAAAATGATAGCAGTGGAAAAACAGAACAGGCCAGAGGAGTCTGGGTCCCCAGCGCATCAAGGAGCCACTGAACTAGCCCTGAACTGCCCACCTCAGATGATTTGTTACGTGACAAAAACAAAACCTTGATCAGGTTAAGACACAGTAAGAGGGGTTTCTGTCACATAACGCTAAACCTAGTCCTAATTTGTACTAGGCTGAGGAGAAAAACACCCCTTCAACAAATGTTGTGTACCTACTGTGTGCCTGACAGGAACTGAGTGAGGGTGAATCACCCAGACACGGAATCTTCCCTAGCAGGCTCTCAAACTAGCAGCAGACACAAACAACAGCAAATAAAGAAGTCAATTATTATTGCTATCGAAGAAATAATTAAAGCCTGGGGAAAGAGAATGATAGAAGATCTCCAGTGGGTGGTCCTCGAAGGACTAGTGAGGAAATGATATTGAAGGGGAAATTTTAAGAAATGGGCCATATGAAGGAAGAGTAAGAGGAAAGAATATTCCAGACAAGGAGGAGCAGCACATACAAAGGCATCTAGTTGGGAAAGATCTGAAGGAACTGAGAGAAGGCTGGTGAGGTTGGAGCTGATGAACGAGGTTCTGAAACAAGGTGACAGAGAGCTGGCCACCTTGCAGGGCCTGGCAGGGCCAGCCATGCAGTGCCTTGGGCGGGCTTTCATAAGTCAGTGAAGGATTTTAAGGAAAAAGTTACCTTTTAAGAAGACCTCCATCGGGAAGGCAGTTTCAGTCCCAACTTCTATGGGTCTGCTGGCTGCAGAGGGATCTTGTCAACGTGGCTGTGAGAACAAGTTCCTGGCCCTGGTCCTGGAGGCTTTGGGGCATGGATCAGGTTCACCCGGAGTTCAGTCTCAGGCCTGCCACTCAGTAGCTGTGTGCCTTTTGGTCACTTCCTCTCTGAGCCTAAGCTTCCTTATCTGAAAATAAGGACAGTAATAGTCCTACCTCTTAGAGCTGTGAGGAGGCAATGTATTGAATCCTGTAACTCACTTGGAACCATGCCTGGCACACAGTAAGCGCCAGAAAATAGTTCATTCTTTTCACTGTTACTGGGAAACCCATCAGGGTCCAGATACTCCTGTCTCTAGGGCAGTGCTTCTCCATCATCTGGGTCCCATCCCCGAAGATTCTGATTCAGGAGGTCTGGGGTGGCCTGAGAATTTGCATTTCTAACAAGCTCCCAAGTGATGCTGATGCCTGGGGTCTGCAGATAGCACTGCTTTAGGGTAGGACCAAGGCAGCCCCTTGGGAATATTTTGGAGAAGGATGGCTGGCTTCCCCTGCAGTAGCCACTTTCAGCCCTAATGGACAGTGGCAGAGGGTGGGAGGCTAAAACCCCAACACCCCCTAGAAGAATTAAACATGTTCCTTCTGGGAGGCAGGAGAGTGGAGATCAGTGGTTCTCAGCCTTTAAGGAGTCTCAGAACTCCTGGGGAAGACGGTAAAAATGCAGATTTAGGGGGTCCACCCCAGAGATTTTTTCAGTCTGGGAATGGAACCCAAATATCTTTACGTTAAACAGCTCCCTTTGGAGTCTGCCACAGGTCACATTTGGACAATTGGTGGCATGATGATTTTGGAGTGAGACAAACCCAAGTTCACATCTCCCTCAACAACCTTCAATCTTTGTGGCCTTTTGTAACCTTTAAAACCTCTCCAAATCATGCTTTCCTTATCTCAGCTTATTAACAAGCTTATTGATATGAGTATTTCATCTCCCCATGAAGATGAAATAAAAATATCTAAGCAAAGGGCATAAAAGTTATAATCACGGATTCTGGTATGCAAAGGTATAATTTGCTTTATTTATCAATAGCTTATATTAATGTAGCTCATAACCTCAGATTTCTACTAATAGCAGAAAACTTCAGCTTGGAAATTCTAGCTCACTCAGACCACTTCCAGCTTTTAAAAAAACTCAAGTCTCTTTTGGGAAAGTCTAGCCCGAGTCAGGATTGTTTTCTTCTCTGTCACCAGCAATTCCCCTGGAGATGATCTAGGTTCTTCAGGCCTCCTACATGGCACAGCTGGCCCTGGGCACAGGCATGCCCAATTGATGCCCACTGTGCCACCCTTCCACTAACTGGTCCAACCTCTGCTTCTTTTACAGGTTGGACAAAAAGGGGATGTATCTTATTTCCTGCTGCTTTCTTCCCCGTCTGTGATTTACAGTAAAACCCTAAACTCTGTGAGCTGCAGGGGCCGATTCATATGTACCCACAATCCTTTCCTTTTGCAAGAACAACAACAATAAAAAGTCTGGCCCTTGCAAATGAAAGTCTTGCTTTTTGTCTCAGACTTTAACAAATCCCTTTCAGCTCTCCAGTTGACCTCTTGTTCTTGGGGGTGCTTGCCTTCCCCTGAATGCAGGGCAAAGAGGCTAACTATCCTGGCTCCCGAATGATGGGGGAAGGCAAAAGTTACAAGGAGGCTTGAGGATATGGGAGAGCACCTCTTTTGTATCTCAGAATCTCTCCCTGAGATTCCATGGCTGGACTAACTTCTCAGGGCATGACAACCATGATTACTATGGTGAGGAAGAGAAAGAGGACTTCTCTCCGGATGCACAGGGCTTTGCTGTGCTGGCTCTGACTGGCTGTAATTCTATGCTCCCAAGATCAAAGGAGCCTGTGAGGGTGCCCAGGAAGAACAGGTCACAAACCAGTGACTTGTTCACTTTTATTAACAGGGTGAGAAGGATCTTCTGAGTGGGGGCCTCTGAAATGTGCACCTACTCCCTATCCAGCACAGGAAATGAAGCAGGAAGAGGAGGCGGCTGCCTGTCAGTACCCACCTCTCGCTCAAGGTGCCAGAAAAGCCAATCACTGGAGATTCACTCCTTCAGATCAAACACTGACCCTTCCAGGGTCATCTTAAAATATAAGCACCAAGGGAACAAATTGTGTATTAGTACCTCCAAGTGTCTGTTCTGGGCCCCAAGAACATTGCAAGAGGAGAAAAGGGAAGGCCTGCTAGCCCCACATCCTCCTGGACAGCTGGGGAGTGAAGAGGCATTTCCAAGGCCCCTGTCCTCTCCCCGGTGCTGAGCCCAAAAGGATGGTGGCTGCCAAGCCTGTTCAAACTTGTGTTTATTTCCAAAGAAGCTGGGGGTGGGGTAGGGAGGGGATACATTGCTTGGGTCTCAGGAGGAGCCCCAAGCCTTGGGGAAGAGGACAAATCTTCCTGCTCTGCCCCTCTGCAGTGTTGTCAGTAGGGGTGATTCAGTGTGTGCTCCATGATGGTCTGAATGGCCAGCCACGTCTCCTGGGCCGTGGGGACGATCTGTGCGGCTGGCAGCAGGAAACCGTAGCGCCCGGTGTCCCGGAGCTCAAAGCTGAAGGAGTACTTGATGCCACTGTCGTAGGCCCAGTCGACAGTGATCCCACTGGCCACATCTGTATACAAAAGGGCGAGGAAACACCCCCACAAGGAAGGGCAAGGTGTGACCACAAGGTACAGAGGCATCCTGAAAGGACTGGGCCAGAAAGCGGGCCCTGGGGGCCAAATCCCCACCTATCCCAGACCACACCAAACTTCCTGGCCCAGGCCTCAACCTGGGCCACACCCTGCTCATGCAGTCCATTCTCTGCCCCAGTAAAAAGAAAGCACCGTGAGGCCACTAGATTTAGTATATTTACCCTCAAGGAACATGACAGTAAGCCAGGCATAGGGAGCTATTAATTAATGCTGCAAATAAAGAGCTGCCTGTATCTGGGTACCACCATTCACCCTTCTATCCAGATGTGGAAACCAGCTCTGGCCCAGCCCAGTCAGCAAAGAGCCTGCACCTGCCTGACCCCAAGTTGATGTAGTGCCTGAACCAGCAACAGCCAGGGGAAGGCTCACTCACAGAGGGTGGTGCTGATGCTGCCAAAAATGTACTCCATTCCATGGACCTCATACAGGGCCTGCACCGCATTCTTCGCAAGACTGTACTGCAAGATTAAATCCAGAGGGTGAGAGGCCCACGCTCCCCATACCCCCACATCCTCAGCAGCTGCTAAGAAGCAGGAACTTAGGAGTCTTGGAAGTTGAATGTGTAGATGACTCTTGTGAAAAGGGAGCACAGCACCTCTAGCTTCGAACTTGATCACAAGTGAGAACAAGCCCCTGTTGCTGCCCCCTCCCCTACCAGACCCCACCACCCACTCCCTACCATGGGACCAATTGGGAGTCTGCTAGATGCCTCCCCGAAGCCTTAAGCAGCCAATCTCACCAACTCCTCCTGGTCTGAAACAGGCTCCAGAGTGTGGCCATAAGGGTACATGAGCATCTGAGAGTAGCTGTGGATGGAGATCAGAGCCTTGATGTTCCCGTGGGCTGTGATGAAGTCCACAATGGCAGCCACTTCTGGCTCTGACTGAGGAGAGGGCCCATGATAAGTCTCTGAGCAGGGGCTGTTGTTAGAACCATTTCCTGTAAGTAGAATAAAAGCACCCAAAGGGTTCAAATTCCCAGGCTTGGGAAAGACACTTAGTATTCACAAAATACCCTGTATTCCTCTACATTTCCTAGCCGCCTTTGCAGTTTGGTTGAGGTCATGTGACTACTTTCGACCAATGAGAATATGAGCAGTAAATGATGAGTCACTTCTAGTTCAAGGCTAAGAGCAAGCATGACTTTTCCACACACTCTTCTGTCTGTGTAGTTGAAGCAAAAAACTCTAGATGGAGGAAGTAACCTGGATCCCTCTGGAATGGAAGAGAGCCATCAAGGAGGGTCACCTACCCACACTGGACTTCATGTGCGTGAAAAAAAAAACTTTTATTATATTAAGCCACTGAGATTTGGAGGGATATTTGTTACTGCCGCATATCCTAGTCTAACACATCAGAGGAGTGTAGCCACTCAGCAACTCTGTTGCCCTGTAGGGAGCTCCCCTTGCTTGACTTTAGTTCCATCAGAAAGGCAGGGTTGCCTCAGCAGTTGCCACAAGGTCTCCAACCCAGGCTTCCCCTATGAGCAGCGACCCCTTTGAGAAACCCTCCCTTCTCTGCCAACCCATCACTACCAGGGGGAAGGCTTGGGTCAGTTGAGCATTCAGGCTTAGTGTCTGCTCAAGGTTTGCCACAGCCATGGCCCCAGAAGCAGCATGTACTTGGGGCCAGGAAAAGAGAATAGATCCCTTTAGTTGCCCAAGGCTGGTCTGGGAATCACAGATACAAAGAGTTTTTGAAACTTATTCTTGGGAACCTAAGTTGGAGGGAGGGCAAAGAGTAGTTGTGCTTCTATTTTGTTCACAAATTTAATTTGTTCCCATCACCTACTAGATTCTTTGCTCCCCATCTCTTTTCTTCCTCTTCTGTTTTCCCAAGGACCATGTCGTGGAGGACTGGGCTGCGTTGGTGAAGTTTTGTGGGTCAGAAACACATATGGAAAGAGCCATCCCAGTTCCTGCTCTCACTCCTCCTTCCTGAAATGACTTTACAGAAGCCCAGTCAGAGGCCAGGGATCACCTCAACTCCTGAAGCCTCCTGAGGACGCCAGAGCACTCCCACTTGACCCCCCCACCCAGGGTAGTAAGTTGACTGGAGAGGGGGGAGGCTGGCCCATGGACCAGATCAGATGCTGTTCTAGGACTGCAGCAACCTGGTCCTCCCCAAGGGTGCAGGTGAGGATGGCACGGGTGGGAGGGATGGTCTATAGATTACTCATTACACAGCAATTAAATTAAGGCAATAATAAAACCATAAACAAAATCTTCCCACCTGAGTCACCAACCAGACACGAGCTATTTCTGGCCACAGGCAGGCCCAGAGGCAATTCTGTCACCTGGGAGTGCATCCCCTCTTGCTCTGCCAGTCCTCCTTGGGGGTGGAACCCTGGTTAGAAGGGGAATGTGCCTGCAGGGAGTGAGGGGGTAAGAAGCAGCCCCACAGGCTGGAGTCCACCCAGCTAACAGCGGCCCTGTTTGTTGTGTCTGCTGGGAGCTTCTGCACCTGCTACACTTGATGAATGACAAACAGCAACAGATGATCAGAGCGGGGGAGGCTGAAAGCTTTGTCTGCATTTGCAGCCCACGCACGGAAAGCGGTTCCCTTGCCAACGACCAGGTGGCTTTGCCCAAATATGGACAAACACTTCAGGCCATTAGTTCTGGTTTGAGCTAAGCAGAATAAACTAATCTTACCCTGACCAAGTGGGAATTAGCTGGCTGCCTCTCTCTGACGTTCATAGTTAAAGTCCTCTGAGCCTGCCTGTTTCACAAGTACCTGCTAATGGATTCATTAGCTATTTATTTTTCCTTCTCTAAAAATGTAATTTGTAGCAAGGGGAAATCTCTGGAAGGACATGGTAAATTATTAAAAGCAGTAATCTTTGGGTAGTGGGATTATAGGAGTTTTTTGTCCCTTCTGGGCTTTTCCCCCCCCACATTTTTGTTTGTTTGTTTGTTTACAGTGTGTATATCCTGACTTTTTTCTTCTGTAGTGAAACCCACAGAAGTTATTTTCTTAAAGAAATAATTTTCTTTCTTCTAGCCAGTCTGTCTCGAGGTCCATGGGTACTTACTTTAGCCAGTTCTGAGGGGCTCACACGGATGCCCACTTGGGGCAAATGTCTGGTCATTTGGAGGTGGAAACACCTAATTTTACAGTTTTGTTCCCTTACAGAAGCAGATACAAACATAATCCCAGACTCTCAGGCAACCCCCACACTGTGGGCTGATGGCCACACTGGATGCTTCAAAGCTGTCCTTATTTTTCAATGAGAACAGACTCAAAGAAGCCAGACTTTCAAAGCAATGAGCATCCAGGTCTAGAATGTTCTATCTCATTGGTTTGGCCACCCATCCACAGATATGCTTTTCAATGGCAAAGGAATTGTCTTCTATGGAGCCAAATCCTGATCCCCCAGTATAATGTGGGAATCACATCCAGGGGCTGAAGTCTGTGCCCACACAGCCCTCTGCTAGACTGTCAGCAAGACCCAGCATTCCACTCATCAAACTGCTGCATTCCCAAGGTCCACATACTCATCTCTGGGCTTTCTGGAGACCTCGGTTTGCCCCTATGCCCCTGGCATGGCAGGGGAAATAATCAGGAAGAACACCAAGGGAACTTAGGAGGAAGCTGCCCACCCCTCCCTGGAACCACAGAGCCCTGCAGATAATACCAGCCCAGCAGCCCAGGGTCACAAAGTAATTGGGTCAAAAATAAAAACCAGGCTCAAGTCAGTGTTGATGATAAGGAACTGCCTTATTCTATATTTGAACCTTTGCTCTGGCTCCCCAGAGGACAAAATTCAGGTCACAAGTCTCAGGGAATGAGTTTGGAGGCATTTTCTTGTGACATGCTGCCTTCAAGGAAGGGCCAGGTATCCCCAAGGAAGGGGAGCACCATAAATTCTGGCTTTTGAACAACAAATAAGACTACTTTGTACCTCCTTAAGCTTTTCTCTGCCATATCTAGGATTTGACCCTTGCAGTTTAGTCCCCATGCAAGGAGCTGTTTCCCATGAAGGCTTAGCATATGTATACATTTCACACACATTTGCAACCTCTCCCCATATCCCATGGCCAATCCTAGGCATGTACCTGCCTGTCCCTGGCCATGACTCACTTGCATTCACTAACAGCTTTGCCTCCTCAGTTATAAGTCATCATAATCTGACTGTATGGGAGACGTGCCAAAGACCAAGTCCTCTCCAGCCCTGCCCCCAGGCGCAGCAGACTGACGTACCTCCAAAGCCTGACTTCCAGTTCCTGTTAAGATCCACACCAATGCAGAAGATTCCAGGTCTGCTGGACTTGTTCTTCCGCCATAAGCGGTTCTGAAAAAGCCCAGGGCAGGTGGTCTCATTCCCTGGGCCCATTCCTAGGAGTGGGAGCCCCTGATCTCCTGGCCTAGGAAGGTGGGGTCTGGTGGGGCAGAGCGGGGCAAAGGGAAGGAATCTCCAGGGCATGATGGGGCTGGCGTGGGGCTGGACCAAGGCTGCAGATGCAGCTTTGTGGTAAAAGCTGGAGTGTGGAGAGAGGCCCGAGCATGGCCAGCCAGCAGTGACCTTCCCTGGGCAGCAAGAGGGAGGCTGGAGGGCAAGAGCAGCAGCTGCAGTGCTGAGCAGCCCACCTGCCTCAGTGAGACTCTGCAAAGAGCCCTGGAGGAGTCTGCCCCCAGGGAACTTCAGCTCAGCCTCCCAAAGCCACAGGGACCTCTCCTCCATTCCTGCAGAGCTGATCCCTGACTCCCGACCTCCCCCCTCCCAGGTGTTCTCACCATGCTGTGGGTAAAAGCAAACCCATCAGGGTTGGAGACAATCTCCATGAAGATGTCCATGGCATTCAGTACATTTGTCACGATGCGGTCTTTGCCGTACTCATTGACAATCTGCAAGAAAAGGCAGAGTGAGTAGGGGGTGAGGGGTGGGGGGCCCTGCTGGGCTCTCCTCTGTAGGGCAGGACATTGTATAGCCGGTGGCAGGCAGGGGTGGCAGCAGGCCATCAGGTACATCCCCGTACAGAACCAAAGGCTTGGATTTTAAACAACTAGAAGGTGGAAGATAGACAGACGTTCTGTGCTACGAAAGGCCAGAGCACTTGGCAGCTGTTCCACAGAGTAGGAGGGCAGAGAGCAACTTGAGTTAAACGAACCAAGTTTTCAACTAGAGGTGCCCTTAAATAGTTGAGCAGCTCCCACCTCCTGCCCCTGCCCCCATGGTCCGTGCTGACCTTCCTGGCAGTCCAGATGCCGGTGGCATGGGTGATCCACTCCCGGGCGTGGATTCCAGTGTCGATCCAGATGGCTGGGCGCTGAGAACCTCCGGTGCTGAACTGGGGGAAAGCACCAGGCCCCAAGCAAGTTTGAACCGAGACAGCTGTCACTAGGGCTGTCCCTAGACTGACTGGAAGGAGGCCCCAGATGTATCCTCACTGCCTGGGGTGGCCCTATGTTCCTGAGAGTGGGGCTATACATGCAAGCCCCTGTGCCTCAGCCCATGAAGCGCACACATGTGGGGGCCCTGGTAACACAGTGATGCTTTGGAAAGCACAGTGATCCAGACAGAAGCACAGAATTTCCCGTTTGAAAGTATTTAGACTAGTGCTTCTCAAATTTTAAAGGGCACGTGAATCCCCCAGGGATCTTACTAAAATGCAGCTTCCAATTCAGCAGGTCTAGAAAGGGGGCTGAGGCTGGGCATTTCTAACAAGCTCCCAGGATTGCTGCTGCCGTGGGGGCAAGGACCACACTGAGTAGACAGCATCAGAGAGACAGCACTGAAAGCCCCCCGGGGAAACCAAAGAAAGTGCAGGGAAGTCAAGTCCCAAGTCAGGTGAGACCACTTGGCCCTTCTAAAAAGTCCCCCAGGGCACTGTTGAGGGCAGCAGTGCCTGTCTTCTCCGCATGCTGGATGTCAAATGCCCTGAGTGCTCTTTAGGGCACATACTAAGAATTATAGTCCAGTGGGCTCCACACTCTCACCCATCCTGCCTCCTTCATGGCCACGGGTTCTGCTTCTGCCAAGTTTGCTCCAACTCTGTTTCCAGTGGCCCCTGTGAAAGGCTGGAAGGTCCCCTCATAGACTCGGGCCTATCTGTGGAGCTGCTTGAATCAGATGACCTCAGCTGTTTGTAAAGGAGGCCTCTGAGTACCTCTCTTCCCATTTAATAGATGAAGCAACCAAAGTAACAGGAAGAGCACAGACTCACCCACACTCACATCCCAAGTCCAGGGTGATGACGGCCACTCTGCAGTGCCATCTCCTTAGCAACCCTCCCACCAAATTCCTGACCCAGGATGTGCAGATCACTGCACCGCCACCTGTCCACATCTACAGGGGTGAGTCCCCAAACACCACGATCCCAAAGCTTGTGGGTCACCTCAGGACAGGAGTGTACACATCTCTCTCCCTAAAACTCCCACCCAGCCACAACCTGACATGGGCTCAGTCTGATGCCAGAGGCACTCACTGTAGAGCCTAGTGGTCAATACAGCTAGATTTTACTCACCTTCAGGACAAGAATGGACCGATTTTCAAAGCTGTAGCCAATCCGAATTTTTGATGCAATATCTGAGTGCTCAGTTGCAAAGTTGTCAATCCAGGTATATATCTAAAGGGAATGGAGTTTCTTAGATGGGCAGTTAAGCAGGGAGGGGGCAAACCCCAGGATGTCTTCGAATATACTTCTTCTCCCATCCTACCCTCCTTACCACTTTCCCACCTCCCTTGAGGATCTAAAACAACCCAGATCAAGCACTGAAAAAAATCAAAGACTCCCTCCAGGCCTAAGGCACAAGCTGTGCTGTGGTTGGCCTGGATTCCAGGCTTTTTACCAAGGTGCAGAGCTGAGACTTTTGCCTGGAAGAGCAGCATGTGCTGAGGCCACTCGGTCCCCAGGGTCAGCCTGCAAGGTTCTCTCTGGTCGGAAGTTTCTCTTGCTTCCATTTTCTTGGCCCCTTCAATCCTTCTGACAAGATCTCATAGACCTCGCAGTGTTGTTTTGGTCATCCTGCTCCTTTTAGATTCTCAGCCTCTTGAAGGCAGGGTTATGTATCTCTGACATCAATAAACACTGATGGAATATATTAAATTCATTTTCTTATTCTTTCAATATGTACTTAATAACTACATGAAAGAAAAGAGATCCTCTATTACAGGCCTTGTGAAATGGAGAGAGTGACAATGACAATAACAGTGGGCAATCTCAATAATGTCACAGACTTTACAGGGAAGCAGGACCTGTGCCTGGAGTGTCTTTCTGGACTGGGCATCTCTATGCTCTCCTTGCATGTTCTCCTTTGTAAATTAGTCACAATCAGTCATGCCTGCCCTCGATGGCTGTAACTATGATAGTAAATTTTCTCCAAGTGAAGGCAGCTCTGTTTTATTCGACAAAATGGCTCTCTAATGTGCCTGGCTTCCTGCCCCTTCTGTGCTCTAGTATCCACAGCTGGGGCCTCTTACCACAGGAATGGTTGTGCAGAGAACAAGACCCCTGGATCCCAAGCCAGAGTGCTGGATGTGAAGGTGCCTCTCCCAACTCTGTTCTGGCCAGCGATGGGTCCCTACCTTAGTGTTCAGCTTGGTAGACCCATTACTCTGGTCCCGTACCTGCTGTGGGCTGTACTGTTGAACCCACAATCCGCTCTATCTGAATCCTGGCTTCTGGACCTCTTTGAGCTGACTGCCTACCTAACACCCAGTGTCTGCTCTGCACTCCCCCAAGCATAAGTTCACAGTCTCCTACAGACCCCAGAGTCTCGAATCTGAGACCCTGAGGGCTCAAAAGGACAACAGAGTCCAAAGCCTGACCGGGCAGACCCACCTCCTCCAGGGTATGGTAAGAGGAGTAACTGAAGCTACTGGTGCTGCGCTCCAACCGGCGGGATTTCGCCATGGCTTCTCTCTCCTCATCCAGCAGCACCTAGGAGGCAGGAGCACATATTGGAAGGGAAGGGGAGGCTGGGCCAGGCAAGCATCTTCTGAGCCCTGCCTCAGCTGGCTGCACACAAAGACAGCGTCGACCCAGGAGAGTGAGCCCCCGTGAGTGTGAGTGGCGCAACGGGAGGAGATGCCTGGTTGCTGGGTGACTCTTCTGCTAGGCAAGCTGGCATTCATGCCACCACTTCCCAAATGAGCAGAGGACAAGGAGTTTGGAGAACTTCGTTCTAAGTCTGCCACTGCCACTAACTAACTAAACTTGACCTTAGTTTCCTCAGCTTGAAAGTTGGGACTTACCTTGCCCATCTCATATGATAAAATGTAGTAACAGATATAAAAGTGTTTTGGAAAAGACGCTCATGGTCTACTGCCAACATTTCTTCTGCCTTGTGAGCACTTCACTGAGCCAAATCCCAAGCTGAACTATGTGCACGACCCCTGTGGGTGCAGAGAGATCCCCTGACCCACAACATCCACTCTACCGCCCAGAGAGTGGGTGTCCAAACCATTCAGAAAGCCAGTCCAAATCATTATGATTTAAGTGCCAACAGTCTTTCACTCACCGTTTTAACTGCCCCTTAGACAAAAATACAGGTGAGACAGAGCAACGTCCCTGAGTGGCAATTTGGAGTTGGCACTCAATCCTCACTTGGTACTTCCCACAGAGAGGGCAGTACAGCGTCTGGGTTGGGTTGACCTCCTGTATGATCCTGGGGCATTCTTCCCAGCTGGGGACTCAGTGAGGTGGGCAGGTGCCCTTCACCCCCAAATTCATACCTTACATTGGCACCTGGGGACCAAGGCACCCCAGGACTCAGTGCTGACTGTGTCACATGGGAGGTGCCTGGGCCCCTTTGCCACAAGGGTGCCGGGAAAGCAGAGGCCTTCAACCCAAAGTCGCCCTGGTTTGCAGCTCTGGGTCACAGGTAAGTCCTGATGATGCCTTGCTTCGGGCCAGAGTCTTAGTTTACCAAGCTATCTTTATCCTCATCATCTCAGATGACTCGATGTCAGGGCAAGAATTAACTATTCATGTTTTAGAGGTAAAGCAGATTAGAGAGGTTAAGGGACTTAAAAGCAAAGCTAAAAAGGAGCAGAGGTAAGATAAAAGCCCAGATACCCTAGTTCCTAGCGTTGGGTTTCTTAAGGCTAGCTAGCTATCAAAACTAAAGGCTAATAAGAATAAAACACACACACACAGATTTGTAGATATGTGTATGTATATCTATGTGTGTGTGTATATATATAGAAAGAGCAAACAAATGTATAAATGTTAACAGCAAGTGAAAAGTCCATCATACCATCCTTGTGATTTAAAAATGTTTCAAAATAATGAAAAGGCAATACCTCAAGCATAGGAAACTAAGAAAGTAAAATGCAAAAAGAGGGGAAAAAAGAAAAGAAAATTCAAATATGCCTGTTAGGATAGAAGAGTCCGTATTTTAAGCAATTTTTTCTTTTCTCTATTTTTTACATTTTGTCACCATGCTTATACTACATCAAGAAGTAAAATCTTCTAAATGAATAAATAATCCAAAAACAAAAACAAAAAGCTCTAAAGGCTAAAATAAAACAGCAGCCACAGAGCCTTCAGTCCCAGGGCTGGACGAGCACCTCTGCCCAACCCCAGCCTGCTGCAGCTGAGGCCACTGCTGACGACGCACCCACCCTGCAGCCCCTGTCAGTTTGCTCACAACCCTCAGGTTCACAGGTTTTAAAACGGGACTGGAAATCGATGTTTGGGGTACATTTTGTTTGCTTTTTGAGCACCAACTACCTACTGGGCAATTGTAATTACAATGTTTTCAGCTGAACTGGCTGGGCTGAGGATGTTCCCGCTTGAGCAAAGCTGGGGTTGCTGGGCTAGGCAGAGGTGACTGGAGGAGCCCTGAGCCTTGCTTGCACAAGCAGGATCCTGGGAAGTTCTAACAACAGAAATCTCAGCAGACCCCATAACTGATTTGTGCCTGTCGCTATGGGCCGGGCACGACCAGCTGTGGTGAACAGCTGCAGGGGAGAGAGCAGGTCAGGCGACTGCACCCGGAGTCAGGTCTCAGTTGGCCCCAACACTGGTTCCACTGCCATGAAGCTAAAGGGTCCATACATGGAACTTCCTAGGGACTGAGGTGGTGGCTGAAGGTGGAGCATAGGGAGGAGAAATTGGGAAAACAGGACCCGAGGACCCAGTTCTTTCCACATAGACCAGGGACAACCACAAGAAAACAGCTCCAATAAGGCTGTCCTTTGTTTCACAAAACAACTGGAGGCAAATGGGAAGTCGGCACCAAACTGCAAATAACTTTCCAAACACCCTCACAGCCTTGTGAATAGATATGACACCCGCTTACAAATTGGGAATGCTCAGCCCTCACAGCTGGGCCCCGATTCCAGGAACATTAATCTACCCTGGCCTGAAAAATACACAGATGTTTGCTCCCTTCACAGGGCTGAGGAAGGGGATGAGAAAACTAAGAATGCAGTCTTGCCACAGGCTCAGGAATGCCTAATTACAGCCCTGTCAGGCTTCTCAGAGAGGAAAAAAAAAAGACTCAGAAGTAAGCCATTTGCCTCCCTGGAAGCCATAACCTGACAGGGAAAGTAATACCTTGGTGTGAATTAATTTATGACAGGGTAAGGAAGGATGGGGACATTAAGCAAAGAACAGCACCTCCAGGATGTGGGAAGGGAGGAGCCAGAGGGCCCCAAAGGTGAAGCTTAGGCCCAAAGGGAATCAGCATTCACAGCGCACTCCAACCACAGACGCAAAATGCACGCAGCTCACAGAAACAGTGGGTGAGGGGAGCAGGAGAGGGGCTCTGGCCCACGCTCCGTGACAGCACGGTCACCTCTCATCGTCCCTGGCCTTCTCTTCCAGGCCTGTTTGCAGTGGCAGCTGCATGGCTGGTGGCAATTACAGTCCATGTCTATCTACATAGGGGGTGGGGGGTTGTTAGAACGCACCTCTCAGAAGTCAGGACCGAACCAGGGCTTCACTATCTGAAAGGCAAAGTTAAACACCACACGAACACCACCACCACCCACTGAGGAGGCACATGGCACAAGGGCAGAGTCCAGGGTCTGGAGCCAGGCTCTCTCAGATTCAGTCCTGATGCTGTCACTAACTTGAGCAAATTACTAAATCCTCTGTGCCTCAGTTTACTAAGTTATGAATTTCTATGTGCCTTCATAAAATGGGGTGATGTTATCACGTCCTTTAGCATGTACTTTGAAGTGTTCTTGTGAGGATCAGAAGGGTTAATACATGTAAAGTGCTTAGGACATTGCCCAGCACGTAGCAAATGCCAGCCACGATGGTGAAGACGACAGGACAGCAACAGTAACTCCCGGGGAGACTCCAGGACTCTGCGGTGCAGTAATCGCTACAGGGCATGACCAGGAAATCTGATCGTCCAGCAGAAGTGGTGTCTGCCAAGCTTGGACAGCAGATTCTCCCCATTAGTGGTCACTTGGCTGAGTCAGGCAGCACCTTCCCCTCCCTGGGACCAAGAGAGAGGCCAGTCCTTCTTCTGTCCCTGCACCACCCCCAGCCCCGCCCGGGCAGCCAGACTCTGCCTCTCCCTCAGGGCCTTGCCCATGATTTTGCCTTTCTTTCCTCACCTACTCCTGTCCTCCTGTCCTCTTTAGAGCTGCCACCCACCCCTACCCCAGCCAGCAGTATGCCCACTTTTTACTGTCTTCTATTCCATGAAACAATGTGGTCAAGCACACACTGGACACTAAAGATAACAGCAAACAAAACAAAGCAAACAAAAAAGCAGCCAACAAAATAAAACTGCCTGCCCTCATGGGGTTCACAGTCTGGTAAGGGAGGCACACAATAACTAAGAAAGGTAAATCATTTAGGATATTAGAAGGCGGTACATGCCAAGGAGAAGGGGGATGTGGTGGAAGGAGGGAGGAAACTGGGGGAGCATGGGAGAAAAAGGGTACAGCTTAAAACAAGGTGAAAAGCTGACATGTGAATCCGGTTTTGAAAGCAGTGAGGGAATAAGCCATGCTGGTATCTGCAGAGTCAGCATTCCAGCTATAAGGGCCAGCAAGTGCAAAGGCCCTGAGGTATGAACCTAGTCAAGGGCACTGAGGCAGGAATGAGTCAGGCGAGTTGGAGGAACATCAAGGAGGTCCAGGTGCCTGGAGCCAAGTGAATAAGGGTCATTGATGTAGGGCAGAGCATGGATCATACAGAGTCTTATAGCTGTTTTGAGCACTTTGGCTGAGTGAGATGGGAAGTCAACGAGGGTTTAAAGCAGAGGAATGACATAACAGGACTTGCATATTTTTAAAGGATACTTCTGGCTGCTGTTCTGAGACTAGGAAATAAGGAGACAAGTGTGGAATTAGGGAGAACAGTTAGAAAACTACTGAAATATTCCAAGTGAGGGCTGATGGAGTGTTGACTCAAGTTAGTAGCTAGGATGTGGTAAGATAGATTTTGAAGGGAGAGCTGACAGGATTTGCTGATAGGTGAGATGTGGAATGTGAGAAAGGAGTCAAGGAGGACTCCAGGTTTCTTGTCTGAGTAACTGGAGGGTGGTGCTGCCCAGGTGGGGAAGGCGCAGAGGGAACGAGCTACAGGAGAGAAGAGGTTCAGGGGAGATCAGTGTGGACCTGTGAAGTCTGAGATGCCTATTAGACACCCAGGTGGAAATGCCAAGTAGACGGTCTGAAGCTCAGATTAGACATCTGAGTCTCCCTGGAGCTATAAATATAGGAGTATCAGGAGGCTGATCTGGAATGAGGGGCTGGAGGAGAGGTTGGAGAACAGAGTTGGGAAACAGGAAAACAATGTGTAAAGGAGCACCCAGTAAGATGGGACAATCCAGGAGAGTGCAGTGTCCTGTCAGCCAAAAGAGGAGACGAGTTCCAGAGAGGAGAACATGACCAGTTGTGCTGAAAGATGAAAAACACGAGCACTCAGAGCTGACTGCTGAGTTGGACCTTGGAGCTGTGCGTGACACTGTTGAGGGCAACTGTGGTGAAGTGAGAGGTGGACAGTTTGCCCGAGGAGAGGGATGAAGGTGGCAAGAACAGTCAATATTTGCAGGAGTTTGGCTCTACAGGGAAGAGGAGAAACAGAGTGATAGCTGGAGGTGGGGGGGAGGGATTAAGAGAGGATTTTTTTAAGATGAAAGAAATAACTCTATATTTGTATGCTAATGGGAATGATCCAGGAGAGAGGAGAAAATTGGTGAAGCAATATTTACACTAAAGTGTATTTTGCTCTAGAGTGTGCTCGGAGCATGGGTGATTTTTGTTTTCTCCTTTGTGCTTTCCCCTATTTTCCAAATTATCTACCATGAATATTTATTAATTTTGTAATCAGAAAAAAGCCATTAAAATCCACCGAGCTGATTGCTCAAGTGAAGCTTTTCCATGGTGACTCATCCCAGAGAAAGGAAAAAAAAAAAACCGAAGGGCTGAAAAGAACGAGGAGGTGAAGAAAAATTAAATGCAAATAGAGCTCAATCGGAATCAGATAATTTCTTCCCTGGCCCGCCGCAATTTCCTCACCACCCTCCTGCCTGTCAGTCTCTCTCTGCTCCTGTCCCCAACTCAACATTGTCAACATTGTCACTGTCAGAGGGATTTTTCTTAAATGCAAATCTGATCATGTCAGAGCCCTCCAATGGCTCCCCCACGGTTTTTGAGATAAAATCTCAACCTTTTCACCCGGTGGAGGATGCCCTTTGTGCGCTGCTCTGGCCTCACGGCCAATCCCGGGCCCCCTCCCTCTCCCCGCCCCTCCCCTTCAGCCACACCGCAATCACCGCCTTCTCTGAGCCTCAGAGCGACGACGTGCAGTGCCTCTTGTACTCGCTCCCATGGCAACCTGCTCCACTCCATCAACGCATCATCCAGTCCATTGTAATCACTGATTTACTCCCCTGCGCTCCCCCACCCCTACAGCCCTCCAGTTCCCCTGGATACGGGGACCGGATTTCTTATCTCTGTATTTCCAGTGCCTTGCCCAACACCCAGCACACAGTAGGCATCTCTGTATCTGTGGGTGGAATGAATAAGCCCACCTCTTCTATCTCAAGCACCCCTCTGATCACAAAGTGGGGGTCGAGGTGAGGGGAGTGGAAAGTACTTCTCTTCCTCAAAAATCACCAGTGCCTCTGGCCAAAGTGAAAAGACCACACCAAGGTTTTTCACACTTTCTCTCAGCATGGTACTAACTAACACACCCTCCTTTTCCTCTCCTTCTCATGTCCATTAAGTCCACTGACATTTACTAAGCCCCACCTAAGTGGCAGTTCCTACAGTAGGTGCTGGGGTATAAAGATACATAAGGCAAATGATCCTGTACCTTGAGGGGCTTGGGGGAGGGGGCTCTGAGACAAAGTCCAGCATAATAGTCAGGCCTCTCTCTGGAAAGGCTCTTCCTGCCAATAGAGTGATTCACTCAGCACACAGTTGTTGAGGGCCCACTGTGCAGGAGACACTGTGCCCAATACTGGGGTGAGAAGTCCCAAAGGACAGGGAGGAATCAGGCCTGAGCGTCAATAACCAAAACAGAAGACCGGAGGCCAACAACCTGAGTGGTGCAAAGCCCATCCCTCCTGTTAGCACCTCTGAGCTTCCCTCTTCCTGGGCACCTCCCCCCATCATCACCACAAATCAACTCAACACAGCAACCTCCTCCCAGCCCCAGCTCCCTTGAAGCCAAAATGTGACCTCAAGAATGACGAGCCTAGCCTGATGCATTGCAGACAGCGAACTGGTGAAAATCCTGCCTGGCTGGGTTAGGGCCCAGAGGCCAAGACATTTTACTAACAGGGAGTGAAAAGACAGCCCACCTTCGCCCCAGGGAATCCAGGGCTGGGGACGACAGGAGGCACAACTCCAGAGGAGCCAGAGGGGAGTTCACAGGTACCTCTGGTGCCATTCCTGATGTACAGAAAATTCTTAGAGACCTCTTCATATCTGTGTGCCCAGTGCAGCGAGGTCTCCAGGGTGGTGCAGAAGCAGGGAAATGCAAACTTCAAAATGCAGGCATGGGCGAAAAATGAGACTTGAGCACTCTTTCTTTTGATGTGGTGGCCACTCTTGCCTGTGGGAGTTCCCCCCTTTTGTCTGTGGGGGATTTAATTAGAGAAAGAGCCGACCCCCACATGTTGAGCAGGAAACAGATGTGCCTGATTGCCTGATGAGGAGGAATGGTCTTTGAACCGACCTCAGTGCCCCAGCCCGTGCTTGCGTGGGAAGGAATGCACCTAATGCGTTTATCCCATGGCATGCGGTGTCAAGTGTGTGCACTCCGGGGACTGTGTGTTCCCACACTCAGCGCCCTTACAGGGGATTAGCTGCAGCTCAACGTGGTTGGGAGGCAATCTCTGTGGACACAGATCTACAGGTGTACAACGGCATCTGCACAGGGAGCAGCCAGAGGGGTCTAACCCAGTGACGCCCAAAAGAATCCCTTTAGGAAGGAGGTTCCTTGGGGTATCCTTGAAGACAACAATTAAAATAGAATTTCATGACGTTCAGAAAAGGCGCTGTAAGGTGCAGCACAAGTGATGGGGGGAGAACGGGGCGCCAGGCAAGAAGTCTCCCTTTGCCCTACCCAAGGGCAGGTCTGCACCCACTTCTCCCAGAGCCGTTTCTCTGGAAGAATCCTGCCTCGGAGACGCATGCAGTTCCGAGAGCTCTGAGGTGCACATGGTGGGAGAGAAACCGCAGCAAGTCTTCTCTCACCTCTTCCCGCTTCTTTGGGATGAAGGAATTCCCCGCCATTGGATGGCTGAGACACAGCAGGGATGGAGGGAGCAGTCAGAAAAGCACAGGAGAGCTGTCCCACTATGGGGCCTAGAAAAGACCTAAACTGTTGCCTCCTGTCTCCCTTCTCCCCTGTCTCCTCCTTTGCCATGAACTGCAAATCCTTCCATAAGAGGACTCCACAAGTAACCTAAAAAATACAACAAACTAGCGAATACACCAGAAATGATGCAGACTCACAGATACAGAGAACAAACCAGTGGTTACCAGTGAGGTACTGGGGAGGGGCACGACACAGGGGTGGGAGGTACAGACCACTGGGAGTAAGACAGGCTCAAGGATGTGTGCACGGGCTATATAGCAAATATTCCGTAATAACTGTAAATGGAAAGTAAACTTTAAAAACTGTACAAACATTCCTTAAATAAATAAATAAGAGGACTCCATAAGCCACCCTGCTATTACCACACAATGAGTTACGAATTCTGCATTAGATTTAAACTTTCTTTGAGAAGTGTGAGGTCTCATTCCTTCCATGGTAGGTTCACAAAAATGCAGGTGGGACTCCGGAAAGAAAATGTCCATTTTAGCCCTGGGTGTTTTTCCTCCATGTTGGGCCCCAACCAGAAAGGGATCTGGGAGGTGAGACTCCAGCAGCAGGGCAGGGGTGGGACCTCACCTGGATGTCCTTTATCATGATGCTGTAAGCAAGGCCATGAGACTCCAGGTAAGCTTTGATGTCTTTCAGTTCAGAAAAAGGAACCCTCATATCCACAGGGAGGCTGGGCCTGGCTGGGCCACGCCAGAAGTCTACCTAGATAACAAAGGAGAGAAAAGCGGGCCTGTGTTTACCACACAGTCCTGCAGGCAGCCTGGAGAGCCAGACGGTCTTCTGCCCAAGCCACTGAGTTCCCTTCCCTAATGTCACGCACCTTCCTCTCCCAGCCTCACTCATACAATGCAACCTCACCCGGATCCAAAGAATCCGAAACAGTTTCTAAAGGTGAGAAGGCTCCTCATCTGGGACATTCACATGGACAAGAACCCTGGTCAGAAGCGGGAGACGTCACTGTCCCCAAACCCCAAAGAAGAAGGAGAGGCCTGATCTGCATTCTCATACCATCCAAATGCCATAGCGATTTTTCAGTTTGTAAAATGGAGAAAATTAGGATCAAGTGTTCTGAGTCCTGGTTGATAGGGGCCCTCAAACAAATAGGAACATGGGCTTCGGGCCACATCCAGAAATATCTGGTTGTTTCAATAGCCCTCAAACAAAACTCTTCTATTATAATAGTTGAAGAAAACATTTTCCATTGTGGGATACTTGCAGAGGACATTCTCAGAAACTAATGCTCATGCTGACAGGGATGAACCCAAATAAAACACAGGTTTGCCAAGCTAAGCCATTTCAATTGGGAAACAGATGTGTCCCGGCTGCATGGCACCCCACTCAGAGACACATGTACCTCCCGTGTGGCTTCAGGACATTCCAGTCGTTTTCAGAGCAGCGCCCTGCCCCCCAACAGGACCTGCTCAACAGCCATCCATCCAGGACAGACAGGAAAGCCAAGAAGGGCCACCCAACCTTTCAGGCGAATGTTCCCAACCTTTCCTGAAGAGGAGCCAAGTTTGATTTTTCCACAATGTTGTGATCTTTGGCAGAGATACCCAGAGGGCAGGTTTGGGGTGGGGGGAGCAGGACAGGGAGCTGAAGGTTCAGGCAGCTGTGAGGGAGAGGGGAACGTGTCCCCTGGCCCTGAGGAGTCCTCACCTTCTGGGGCTTCAGGCCCTCCAGATCCCTGAGAAGTGAAAGCTGCTTCTCATTTTTAGCCAAGACTCGAAGAACCTGGTCTCTGGAAAGACACAGAGGGGAGGAGGGAGCTGCTCAGAGGGGTTCCTGGAAGACTGTACTGCTTGGAGGAGGCAGAGTGGAAAAGAGGCCAGACTGAGGGGCCTGACAAGATGGCTGGGAGGCTAGAGGACCCCTAAGCAGAAGGACTTGTAGCTCTGGGAAGTTGGAAAGTCCTTCAGCCTGGGGCCAGCGGTCTCTCCAGCCCCAAAGACAGACCACCCAGGGGACTAAATAAAGCCTGTCAGTGCTGCTGCTGAACCCAATGTCAAGACAAGGGGAAAAGGATGGAAAAGGAATGTGGGGGATGGAGGGGGAAGGGAGACCAAAAGGAATGAAGGTGAGAAAGGAACAGACATAGGGAGCCGTGGGCACCAAAGGTAACCCCACGTGCTCTTCATACAAGGGCCCAAGGCCATGTCTGCCCCAACTCCATGCCCTCTCCTGCCTTCTCCTCAAAGCTCAAGGGCAGGGAAGGGGATCAGTCTTACCCTACCTTATGGGGGGAAGCTGAGCTCCTTCCTTTCCTGCTGGAGGGGGTGGGAAGTGGTATAACTGAGCAGCTTGCAGTGTGACCTCTAGGGTCTGAGCCTGAGATGGTGATGGTTCCCTCCCTGACCTTCTCTGATACCTTGGACAATGAACCCCGTCTCTAAGCTTGTGTCTCCTCTTCTCTATTATGGAGATACTATGGAGTGGTTGCCTTGAGGGAGCTTTGGGAGGCTGAGAAATTCTGTCCATAGAGGGATTGGGGTATAATACTCATGTTTACTATTACTTAAAGAACAATGGCACACCCATATTTTAGGAGTACATAGTCTTTGGGGGGTTATAACTTTTTTAAGAATTGGAGGAAAGTTACGAACAATTCCTCCAGAAAAAAAGTAGATACACAAAAAATTTTACATATGAGTTCACAGGATTCTTGAAGCCCTGAAAGCTTACCCGTGGACTCCAGACTCAGAACTCTAGATTTGGGGAGAACAATAACACAGCTGCATGTCCTGCTCTTGAACACAAAAGTGGGAGATTACAGAGTTGGAAGTGGGCTCAGGATGGGAATTGAAATCCTGATTGCCTCCACCTTGATCAGGTCCCAGCAGGACAGCCACCTTCCTGTTGGGCCACGCGGTCACCTGGCTCCCGGCAATCCTCCTTCCCACAGTGGAACAGCCACTCACCCTGTGAAATTCATTTGGCCCAAAGCTGCTGCCAGGATAAAGCTGCAGACTAGGAGTGTCCGTGGGTCCAAAGGGGACAGACCGGGGCCCATGCCTCCTCTGGGGAAGCCCTGCATGCTTCTTCCTTCTTCCTCCAGGTGAGCCTCAGGGGTCTTCCTCGTACATGGCATGGCCAGGCTTCAGGACAGCACAGCACCTAAAGGCCAGCAAGCCCGGCCTGAGAATCTGCATTAGGTTCTCTCTGGGGAGACCCAGCACGTGACTCCTACACCCCGGGCCTGGGAGAGCTGGGGCACCCCTCCCCACTTCTAGGCAAGGTCTCTCCTGGAAGGGGAGAGGGAGGAGGGAAAGAGGCAGGCAAGGCCCTTAGCCACTTTCCTCCCTGACGGTTTGCTGGGCCAGCCTCTCAGGAACATTGAGTCCTCCATTTCCGGAGAAAGATGAGAAAAGCCAGAGGCCCAGGGAAACCACTCCTTTCCGCCTTCTAATTATTTTCTTTCGCTCGCCTTCTCCCTTCCCATCCACTCACGCGTATCCTCCTTACACATAAGGGTATGGATGCCATTGAAAGAATGCCGGGCTTAGAGACAGAGAGCTGGGTGCTCACATCCTGTCTAAAAGATCTTGGGCAATTGACCTAATCTGTCTAAATCTCAATTTGCTCATCAGTCAAATGGAGTTAATAGCACCTCCCCTCCCTACCTCACAGGGTTTTGGGGGAGTATTAGATGAGACAACTTGGGTGAACTGGCTTGGCAAAGCCTGCAAAGTAGAATGTATTATTATCTCAAAGCGTTAGCTCTTAGTCACAGCTGCATCTTAGGTCAGGACTCCAGTTGCAGTGGGGAGAAAGCGAGAGAAGAGAATGGAGGGAGAACAAAGGAAATGTCTATTCTCTGAGAAGGAATTCAGTGAAGATTCCCTTTTCTCTATCTTCAGGTGGTCACCATTATGCCGGGATAGGTAGTGTGTTTTCTGCTAGACATAAAGGTCACTGCAGTCATAATTATAGTTCTCAACAGAGAGCAGAGTCAATTTCTCAGTGCTGCTGAACCCCCACACGGCCCCCTTTATGGTCTGGGAACAGTAGGAATAAAGCAGAGGCCAGCACACAAAGCAGTCATATTAGGAGGAGAAAGTGAAAGATGATGCCTGAATGGTAAATGATGAATCTAACAGAAAATCCGCAGGAGGTGGGGGAAAGGCAGAGACTAAATCCAACAAAGTTGTTCAGCAGAGGACATCAACAAAAGGCCACTTAACTGTCACCGGCGATTCTCAGAAGCCCCCCTCCCTATCCATGCTTTCCCAGAATGGCCAATTAATTGGCCATGTGTGCAGAGAGGGGAGCTCTTTTATGAACAGAATGCCTTGCTCCCACACCCCGCCGGACCTACTCCATTATCTCGTAGTTCAGCTGTTCAGACATGCCAAACTCTCCTAGAACCCCGGCTTTGGGAACTCTCAGACAGAAACATTAGCAAAGGGTTTAAGGACCTAGAAAAGAAAGCAATTAGGCTTTCTTCCCAAGTAACATTCAGCTTCGGTAGAAATTGGAATAAAAGAATGTACTAGTAAACAATAGCTCAGGAATTTAAAGGAATAAAAAAGTGGGATGGTGCTAGTCACCCAAAGTACCCAGCATCTTCTTGTTCAAAAGCATCATTTTAGGTCACTAATAATAAGACAAATATCCCTGTACTTGTATAGGTGTGGGGGGAGAGAGAGAGAAAAAGATTGGGCAGGAGTGAAAGAGAGAGAGACACTGGAGCAGTTGAGAATTCTTGGAAATTCCATGGCAGCACTTCCAACAGAACTTTCTGTGATAATGGAAATGTTCTATGTCTGCACCATCCAATAGGATAGCCACCAGTAGCTAGTGTGACTGAGGAGTTTTTAATTTTAGCTAATTTAAATAATTTAAATGGCTACATGTGGCTAATGGCTGCCGTATCAGACAGTATAGTTCTATGAGAGTTCACCAGCCCTGAGCACTGCCTCCAAGGCTGAATCTGAAGCAGAGGGACACAGCTGCATTTGACTTAATACCTAATATTGGCTTCTCACTCAAAACTAATGACTCATTAATTAATTTTTATTTTAGACATTATCTTTTACGTGAAATAATGTCTAATTGAGTAGACTTTATTATGTGCCAAGCACTTGCTAAGGTGTGGGAATAAAACAGAGAGCAATATGGACCTGGCCCTTAGATTTCTAATGGAGTAAGTAGAAAATTAATTTGAAGAGCGTACTTAAAATGTAAAAATATAGCTGGTGTATGTGCTACAAAGGGAGCAAGGGAACACACAACGTGCCATGAGGACAGGTGACAAGGACAGTTACCTAAAAAGTTGTGTAGAGAACTTTCATCTCCTGCAGGTGAGTGTATAGATACCCAACCAAACCTGCCCACATGAAACAACTAAAATGCTAGATAAAATATTAATAACAACTTTTTAAATGCCTCACCGGGTTGGCATGAATGTAAGAATCTACAGAGCCAAAAGAAGTAAAAGCAAGACACCTGAGAGGTAAGCAAATTTTCCCCCGAAGAACAGTAGGGATCTCTGAGCCCTAGAGTTCCTGACCTTCCTCCTAGAAGAATATACCTTGTATCTGGGATCATTTTCCTCCCGCTTGAGGTATATATTGAAATTTTTTCCTGTAGTGAAGCTCTCAGTTTTCATTTGTTTGAAAATTCTTTACTGACTTTCATCCTTGAAAGAGTTTTACTGGGAATAAATTCTAGGCTGATTTTTTTTTTCCTCTCACCACATTGAAAACATTATCGCACAGTCTTCTGGCTTCCATTTTTGCTGTTAAAAGGTAATGAATTAGTCTATTTACTGTTCTTTTGTATGGGATCTTTCCTTATCCTTGGTTGCTTTGAAGATCTCTTTGTCTCTGATGTTCTGTGGTTTTACCTTCATGTATTCTTCAGATACATTGCAGTGTGCCTGGATACACATTTCTTTGGTTTACCCTGCTTAAGATTCATTTGGATTCCTGTATCTGTGGATAGTTCTCTTTTCACTATTTTCACAAATTTCTCTCCAGTCATTATATCTTTTAACATTGGCTTTCTTCCAATCTCTTTATTACTTTTTGGAACTTTTAATTAGGTATATGTTAGGTGCTCTCATTTTATCCTCCAAGACTCTTAGTCATTCTATTATATTACTAGTTCATTCTCTCTCTGAGCTATATTCTGGATAATTTATTTGTATCAAATATTTGTTTCTTTATTCCTCTTAACTGATTCTCTCATCAGCTGAGATTAATCTGTAATTTAATCGTTTTGCTAAATTTTAAGTTTCAACTTCTACAGTTCATCAATTCTGAAACAACTTTTTTCTCAGATTTTAACACTCCTGAAATCCAGAGGCATCTTATAATCAGAGGCATCCTGAATGGTAATTGGCCCTGGTTTTTGTTGTTGTTGTTGTCTGGGGGGAGAGGAGGTAATTAGGTTTATTTATTTATGTATTTATTTTTTAATGGAGGTACTAAGAATTGAACCCAGGACCTTGTGCATGCTAAGCATGTGCTCTACCACTTGAGCTATACCCTCCCTACCTTGGTAGTGTTTTTGATGACACATAAAATTATGGTGCATTTTACAATCAACCCTGTTTTATAGTCAACACATTATGGCATCTATTTTTCATTTTTGGAAGTTCTATATGATTCTTTTTGAGCCCAAATGACTTGAATTCCTCATTTATTTTAGAATTTCTTGCTTATTTCTTTAAACTTATAAAGCTTAGTACTTTTATATTCTGTGTCAGATAGCTACAATATCTGAAGGCTTTGAAAAATCTATTTCTGCTGCATATTATTTCTGCTGGTTCCCATTCATAGTGCATTGTTTTCTTGTACCATTTATCTGTGAGCCAGTCATTTTCTTTGGGCCTTTATCTGTGGAATTCCTTTGAGGCCCAGATTGAAGCTGAATTCCTCCAGAGAGGATTTGCATTTACTTTTATGAGTTGCTTGGGGGAGGGGCACTACCAACCTGAGACCACTTTAAATTAAATTATTTGCTTGAGTTACTTTGGACTACACGGTTAGCATAAATTTAGACCACAGACTCATACAGGGACTTACTTGTGGTTAAGAATTCTCAGGAGATACTTTTCTCTGGGTCACTTAACACCGAGACTTTAAATCCTGCACAATAATAGATTATTTGCAAGCAGGTAATCAGAGTTAGTGTTTTAGGGTCCTAGAATTGTTCGAAGAAGGGGTACATAGTGATAATTTTCTAGACTTGGGTCAAGTATGCATGTTCAAATTGCTAGAGTAATAACTTCCAAACAGGTAGAAAGGGTAAAAATGAAATGAAAAATGACGGGAGGGGATAAATCAAAAGACAAAGGTAAAAAAGGGGGTGCTTAAAAGTAGGACAAATGGAAAGAAAATAAAAAGAAGAAATTTACCTAAATATATTTTCAGTCATGCTAAATGTAAATGGTTTTAACTCTCTAGTACAAGACAAAAATTACCAGAATATTCTTTTTAAACCTAGCTGTATGTATTCACAAGAACTATGCTTAAAGCATAAGAACAAAAAATCCCCAAAAGTCAAAAGTGGAAAAAAGATATGACAGGTAAATATTAACCAAAAGGAAGCATCTCTAGCTTTATTAATAAAAGATAAAATAAACTTTAAGGCAAAAGGCATTATCAGAAATAAGAGGGTCACTACATAATAATACTACTTTTAATTTCCCAAGAATATTTAACATATAAAAATATTCAGGAATAATTTTAACAAGTAATGTGAAATCCTTCCTGGAGCTAATTTTGAACTATTGAAAAATGCTAAAATTTTAAATAAATATGAAGATACACTTTATTCTCAGATAAGAAAATTTAATGTCATAAAATTATCCTTTCTCCCCAAATAGATTTAAAGATTCACTATAATTCTAATCAAAAATTCCAATAGTCCACAAAACTTCATAGCTGATTTACATGTATAATGAAAAAACAAAGATCCTAAGACAAGTTAAGACAATCCTGGAGAAGAACAAATTAGGAGAATTTTCTATATTGGACACTGAAACATATTATAAGGCTGTGGTAACTGAGACAGTGTAGTTTTGGCACAAATAAAACATAGCACAAAAACAAGCCCAAGTATATTTGGAAACTTCATTTTTTTATGGACTTGGCACAGCAGATCATTGTGGAACAGAGACTATTTAATAAATGTTACTGAGACAACTGTAGATTCATATGAGAAAAATGGAATTAAATCTCAGTCATACCACATACACAAATCAATTCCAGGTAGAGTAAAATATTTAAGTGTAAAAGGTAAAACTATAACACACTTAGAAGACAACATAGAGAATATTGCTATGACATTGGAATAGGTACTAATTTTCCTAAATAAGACATGAAAGGCAAAAAATAAAAAACCCTATACAGTTTCCCATAAAGGAAAAGATAGACAAAATCAACCACATTATAATTAAGAACTTCTCAACAGAGAGTAGAAAGCAAGCCTCAACATGAGAGGACATATTTGTAACACGTAAAACCGAAAATAATATCCATGCTATGTAAAGAACATCTGTGAGTCATTTCTTTTAATGGGCAAAGAACATGAAAAGCCATTTCACAGAAGAGGACACACAAATGATCTGTAAACATATGAAAATTATAATTAGTAATCGGGGAAAAGAAAATTAAAACCACAATGAAATTACCAGTTCACACCAACAAATTGTCAAGAGTTAAATGTCAGTCAATGCCAAGAGTTGGCAAGGATGCAGCCCAGAGAGGGAGTGGGAATAGCTCCTCTCACCCACTCCTAGTAGAGCCTTAAATTGATGAAATCACTTCAGAAAACAGTGTTACCTAGTGAAGTTGAAATGTACTGCACATCCTATGGCCTAACAATTCCACTGCCAGCTATATGCCCTGAAGAAACTCTTGTGCATGCGCAGCAAGACATATGTCGAAGACTGGATTTATAAAATGGAGATGTACTTGTAGTCATATAGAATACAACAGAGCAGAGAAAATGACCAACTACAGCTACATGCATTCAGTAGTCGAACCTCAAAACCATGTCGAGGGAAAGAGCACGCACTGTATGTTTCCATTTATAAACATTCACAAACAGGTAAGACTGAACACTATATTGTTTAGGAATATGTGCATAGCTGATAATTATAAGGGAAATTATTAGCATGGATTCATGGTTTCATCTGGGGAAGGGAAGGGAGTGCCATGAGAGGCACCTGCAGGCTTCTAAGGTGTGCCATGTTCTTGTTCTTAAGCTGAATGGTGAGTAAAAGTTAATTTCATGTTTAACAGGCTTTGGAAGTTTTTATACAGGCTCTTGTAAGTATGATATACTTCACAATAAAATGTATTTTAGAGGAAATATGTGAAAGCTAAATTCTTATTCTTCATAGTCAGAAATCAATAGAAAATGCCTAAAACTGAAAAAAGCAAGAAGTAGCAATATAAACACCAAATTTAGGTTAATGTATGTGAATATCAAGGCTAAAAGAATTTAATATGGTTGTTACTGGAGAGCAAGACTTGGGAAGAAGGAATGGGGAGCAGGACTCGGCTGCTTTTTATAAGTCTCGTAGAACTACTGACTCCTTAAATAATGTGCCATATAACTTATTTCAAAAAAAGGGAGGTTTAAAAAGTGGCATTCAATACCTAGAATAGTTAAATGCATAGAGACAGAAAGTAGAGTGGTGGTTGCCAGGAGCTGGTGGGGGAGGGGGCTGGGGTGGTTAGTG